AACTAAAGGTGACATAGATACTTTATTATGGTATAGTATTTAAATGTATGCCTGAGAAACACATAATATTGTCCCTTTAAGGTGCGTAAAAAGAAGAAAGGTAGTACATTTTTAATGCCATCTGACAAACATTCAATGCAAATATTCCCACAGATTTACAAATAAAAAACTTTCAACCCAAGGGGACTTTTGTCTATTTACTTGCATTTTAAAAAAAATCTCCATAGCCCAGTAACTAAAGATATTTAGACAAATTTATCATTCAAATTCTAATTCCAACAAATAGTGTTCATTTTATGCTAAATGGAGAGGTTTCAGGAAAATGTTACCTCTGGCCCAAAAATAAAATAAATAAAACACGACTTCAACCTTTATCAAGACTGAGCTTGTAGAAAACTGTCTCAGTTCTTGTGAGAACCCTGTTGCACAAGAACGGTTCAACAAACTCAACTGACAATAACCGTCGCCAGTCATTTTGTGTTCTATGTTCAAAACGTTTACACATCAGTAACCAGGTTTCTATGTGACTTACTCTTCTCTTTGCCCCAGATTTGGTTAACTTGTTATTCTGAGTTTAAGCTAATCTCTGGGCTTCACCTGTCCTTCAAAATTAAATTGGATTTATCAGGCAAATTAGCTCAACTCAAAGCTTAAATCATCCGGCAAAGTTATACAAATGAATTCCACTCATAAAGTTGCATCAATAAGTTTTGGGCCTTTACTCTTTTCTAATATGATACCACATTGACTGTCAAATGATATAGCATTTGTTTCAATCCGTATTTAGTTGTTTTTATTTTTATTTTTTAAAATAGGGAAGCTGAAGTATTATTTTAGAAATGCCATGTTTAGAGGCTTTCTGAGAGGCTATGAAAATTGAAACTTTAAGGATTAGAATTATTAATACAATTCAAGACAGAATTTTTCATTTTACATTAACAGTTGAGTTTCAGCTACATACTTGGAAACGTTTCCCACAATAATGGTCTTCTTTACGTAGAGTCTCGAGGCTTCCTCTCCAGTAGTGTGGTACGTCACCCTCTGCTCTGCTCCCATAGACGAAGGCACACCAAATGTGTCCTGAGACAAATGATTAAGTATATATGGTGCTTGACCGATGTGCAAAAAAAGGTCTATGTGATTATGATCCATTCTCCTTTTTTTCTATCAAGTGGACTCACTTTGCCGGTGTTGCGCCCAGGTCTGCGCTCCTGCCTGCAGCTGTCCTCCCTCCATGCTCCCTCCTCGTTCTTCTCAGACCCCTCTCCTTGTTGTGAAAGGGACTCGGACTCTGAATGGCCCAGTGAGGGAGTTTCGGAGTCCTGGTTCAGAGGGGAGGAAGAGCGGGATGGAGGCTCCAGGAACCGGCGAATGGCTGGATGGTTCAACACGGCAGGGTCGCTTTTTGGAGTATGCTAGGATACAGAGAAAAAAAAAAATGCTGTGGAACCTCAGTGATGCTTTGTTCGCATCAAAACATACAGGAATATACCTCTGGGAGCTTTGTGATTCCAGCACTGGCATAGTAATTGGCCACTATGCAAGCACGTAGCTTGTCCATCATCCTCCTGGCTTCATTCAGGCGCTGCAAAACAATCAACAAAAGACTAAACCAACGCATGGTGTTCAAGTTAAGTCTGAGTTCTGTTCCACAGCAACAAAATTAACGATAAATTATAAAATCATTCAGATACCTGACTTATAACATCTATTTCATGTTCCTTGGTATTCATTTCCAAAGAAAACTGTTCTCTGATGATGCTTTCAATCTTCTGTACTGTTGCTTCTCGAGCTGGAAAAAAAAAAAACATCACAATAAAAGTAAATATAAAGCCCACTGAGCAGCTGCTGGGTTTAACCACAACACGCAAAGCAGGTGTAGTGGTTAGGATTTAGAGTTATAACCTACCATTATATTCAGACGTTTTGTTTCTCTTATTGTTTTGAAGCAGAGCAATGTCTTCATAGTCGGGATCATTTCCTTCTATTTTTCTTTTAATTCCCGACATGATCACCTGTAATAAAAAAAAAAACATGGGCAATATACAAATTAATGCTAACTAATTGCTTGTCATGCACACACAGCCAGCTATGATCGTGGTTAGCTTAGTAATAGCTATTTAGCCGTGAAGCTAACCGCTCCATTAACAATCAATGACAGAAGCTAATTGTAGCCCAGACAAATTAGCAAGGTGCTCCAGTCTGTAATCTAGCGTTGTAATTTTAAACTTTATGCAGTTTATCTCAAAGCACTATTCAGTTTTAATGTAACTGATGCAATATAACTGTACACCCAGATTATTAGCATTAAGAATACGTGCCTGACTTTCGCACAGCAGACTGCACTGACTGTCACGTTAGCGAACGCTATCCTTTGCTAGCTTAGCTAACATTAGCGCATCATTAATACCGACTCAGAGCGTACGAAAGACACACTTACTGCAGTGCCTTGTGGTATAAAGTGAAGAAAGTATTAAAAAGTGCCTGATTTAACTACACTTTGGCATACCTGCGCTGCACTTAACCAATACTTGTGTTATGCAAATAGCTAAATCTAGAGCTGAACATGTAGGCTAACTAAAAATGAACACTTAGCCGTGCGTTTCAGTTAAAAAGCCCACCAGGGGTCGCTGTTTCACATAACACGTTTAATCAAAGCACATAATCCAAAGGAGTAAAAAAAAATGTGTTACCATAATTTTAAAAAAAATGTATCTTGTCTTACAAGTCACTTACCAGTCGGACGAGTTATTTAGAAACAATAGTGGAAGTAGTAAATCACTTTAAATAAGCGCCACTGGAGCGCTGATTATTTTGCCTTTCAATCCAATCAGCAGATGCAACAATAATGTACATCGACTGAAGACTCTAAACATAATTCTGAAGAATTTGTTTTTTCACGTTATTCACATGAGCATGACAGCTTCTAAATCTGTTCCAATGAAGTTATCATGAACTGAGAGGCCCTTTGATGATAAACAGAGGTCAAATACAAATAAGCATAAATTCTCCCTTTTTTCATGTTTTTTTTAATCAAACATTTTGAATGGAGGAGGAGCACTTTGTTTTTTTAGACAACAGGTCTATTGAAGGATACAAAAATACTCCTTCAACAAGTTAACAAAATAGATTTCCTGCAGAGACACACTTCGGTTGAGTCACCATGACATTTGTGTGGATTTATAATACAAATCTTTTAATCTTGACTCTCATTCAAGTGTATACAATAATGAACCAGAGCCAACACACGTGCCAACGAGTTTCTGATGAATGAGATCAGCATGACATTCCTAACCATCAGCATTTTCTTCCCCCTTTCTTTCCCCACATCATCGGAAGTGGAATCTTGGCCTGCATGCAAAATTGTCACAAAGTTTGAGCCACTAAAATAACTCAAACTTTACTATGGATGGCGGAAACGTTTTGTTTTTTTTATCCACATTGTAAAACCCAGTATTGTTTCACTGTTTTGCAAAAGACAAAAAAAGACATTCTCTCAGTAATGCCATGCTTCTTCAGATTAGATATGTCAGCCAAATCAGATCAAATATTACAATAAGCGTGCCACACTAGTTCCTGCTTGTGTCTGGCTGAGTGTTTTTTTGTGAGGTTGACAGGGTTCAAGTTTAGAGACTAGAATAATTTTTGATGCTGTGTTTCCTGTCTGCAGTTATATTCCTCAGATTATAAAAGAACACAAAAAAATCTTGAATTTTCTGTTTGGTATTAATGAGTCTATAAGAATCTGTGAGAACACTGTGGCTGTGGTTAGACCAAACCACAACATGAAATATAGATTGCAAATTACTGCAGACATAAATCAGCCCTATAATGACTGGCTTTATCACAGCATGTGTTGCTCAATCCTGCTTGAAATAAGCGTGGCTGGTTTTGTGCCATGCCTTGTTGTTCAACACAACGGCTCATTAAAACATCTCCAGATCCAGACTTGATTGATTGATCCCTTGATGAACTGAAAACAGAGCCACATGGAGCTGATTGTTAAGACATGAAGCAGATTGCTCTTCTTTGTTGGTTGATTAAAATCTGTGGCATCTTCACTAAAATCTACTGTTAACTAAAGAAATTGCATTTCCTGCAAAAATACTGGTATGCTTCATGCTGAATGCTGCTGAAACTGAGTTGAAAATATTTAATAGCAAAAAATGTTCACTTTGAAAAGCTGAAAGAAGCAAAAAAGCCTAACTTTGCAGAAAAACTGTAAAAAGGAGCACAAATYTAACGGAAAACATAAAACGGCTAAAAGCTAAGAGCTAAAATAGCTGAAAACATTTGCAAGAAGCATAAATAACACTAGGTAGCAGAAAAAAAGCATAAAGTAGAAAAAAATCAGAAGAACTGCAAAAAGAAGCAGATCAATAGTTAAAGTAGCATAAAGTAGCTACAATTAGCATAAAATAGGCTAAATGTTGCAGCCACAACTTGAAATTAGCACCCAGTTGAAATAGTTATAGATGAATAATAAATAAATAAATAAATAAATAAATAAATAAATAAATAAATAAATAAATAAATAAATAAAAGTGATAATTTGATGTAAATTAACTAAAACAGCTGAAATTGTCAGTAAAACAGCAAAAAAGTGTCTGGAAATTAGCATTTACACTACATGCATCTCTGCTCCGCTGCGCAGTTTGCAGTTGTTTGTTTGCTGAACTTTTGCTGAAAACAATTGTAATAGTTACAAAATATGTGTAATTAACTAAAAAGCTAACTTTAGATAATAGCAGCTAAAAATTGGCTAAAATTTCAGCAAATAGCTGAATATAGCGGAAAGCATCTGTAAGAAGCATAAATAACACAAAGTAGCACAAAAAACACAAAAAGTAGAAAAAAGCAGAATAGCGGAAAGAAGCAGAATTTTAGCTGAAATAGCAGAAAAACACTAAAATTAGCAATAAAGTAGCTAAAATTAGCACAAGAATGTGAAAAAGAGCATTTCCAGAACAAAATGTGCAAGGTGCTGTAAAGATTTCAAAACACTTTAAAGTATTTTAGGGATATTGAAACCAGCTCTATTCATTTGCAATGGCAAAAAAGTGAAATAGGTAAAAAAAAAAAAAGTATAAAATGCTCAAATACTAAAAGTCATAGCACCCCTCACATGAATGAGCTGAACGTTTTGATACACGAATTGTTGAAATAGCACAAAAATTGAATGCTGTGAAGCATTCACACAACAATTAGTTATTAGGACAAAATGTTGGTGTAGAGAGAAGTTTATTGATCATCTTACAAAAAGTCAACCGTTACATTTCAACACACCAGTTTAAAAAAAACAAACAATAAAAAGAAAATCAGAAACATTTTTTCATTCCTACATCATGCACACAGTAATAAAACAATCTCATTTAATTACTCACACTTTTTTTCCTCTTCCATGAGACAACAATTAACAAACTAAAGCTTCAATCTTACATGCAAACGACATACGAACCTTTGGGACTAAATCAAATCCACTGTGGTTGATTCTGCATTTCTGCTCGTCTTTTCAAGGTTTTGTTTGCCACAATACGCTCACATAATGTATTGAAACATCTCGATGACACACAAACCCACAACTCACCACAACAGGCACAAATCAACACAAAATTACTTGATTAAACAATAACGAGCAGGCAAATAAATGAAGAATCAATAAATCAGCGTTGGAGGACAGTGTTTGTGTAAATACTCAATGAATCACAGACGCGCACACACTCACATTCTCACCAATTCTCTCTTTTTGTCTTTCTTGCTTCTCAACTTCTCTTGTCGGCCTCAAAAGTTTCTATTTTTTACTGTAAAATGGAGTGAGTAGAGAGAAATGTCTCCACCTGTTTTTGATCTTTAGAACAGAACAATCTACGCCAAGCTCTGTCTTATAATAAACTTTATATCGTTATATAGTAATAAAACACACAGACTGTCATTCTGATGCACCGGTACATCCAGGAAGTGTCCAAGAGTAGGAGCTGAAAGGCCTTTACATTGTCTCTTCTATACGTCACATGAAAGCAAAGAACATTTACTGATACAGTAAAACAAAAAACAAGCAAACAAAAAATGATTGGGGCTCTTCGTTACAGAAACACAACAAACAAAATACATTTTCATATAAAAAGAAAAAGTTTTATTCACAGCAAAATCTCCGATGTGTCAATACCAATCGTAGGACGTTGACTTTACTGACAAAGGGCCACACCATTCATAATCATTAATCAACGCCCCACTATGTGTGTGTGTGTGGCCTAACGTTGCTACCTTTAGTGAGAAGTAAACACACACAGATCAGGAGGTATCCATGTTTACCCCGAGAAAATGTCTAAGGTGCCGTTTTAACAAAAGCAACGCTTCCACTACGACCGGATGATAAACCTTTGTGGCTCCAACACATTCAGACCAAGCCGTAAAGTCACGAACGGCCCCTCATACGCATGTCATTTAATTAAGGCAGTCTTCGAGACTGATCGACCAAAACCACCCTCAAACTCGGCCCTAACCAGCCGACACTGACACTAAAACAAACACACCAAATGTAGCTAAATATAATACAATAAAACATGCAATTTCAAAAACAGGACCAACAAGTATAACTTAAAAAGTATAAAAAATAGAAAATGTGAAAAATGAGTTATTACCCTATCCTGTGTGCAGGAAAAGAGATGTGAATCAAAAAAAAAAAAAGGTGAGGACACAGGAGGGGAGGATGAGGGGAAACACGCACAGGAAGTGGAACTTGTGAGGAAAAACGCCAAGGGTATTTGTGCGGCCTTAATTTTTTWAATCTTTTTTTGTTTGTTTTAGGCTGAAGAGGCGGGAGCAACTCATAAATATGACAACTGACACTGTGGCAGGGCAGCTGGCTGCCTGCTGACCACATTTCAATCAGGTCATTTTAAGCATCAGTGAGGGAATTTGTTTAAAACAAGAAGGACAGAGCTGTCGTTGATTTAAGTCCAGATGATCCAATCGTTGGCATTAATATGTGCTGAGCGTTTCACCGAGGAGCTTTATCATAGAGAAAAACAACACGAGGCTGTGAGGAAATAAATTAGCTTACTTATGCATTGTTTTGAATTAGCTATAGTGTTTAAACAACAGAAATACACAGAGCTGTTTATGGGGTGCAGWAAAAGAGTTCGTCACAAGTCAGAGTGTGCGTTTATAGTCATGGCTTGAAGTGTTTGTCGTTGTAGCGGTGGATGGTCACACATCCATGGTAGGAGATGGGCCGCGGCATGGTGGAGGCGCAGTGGCTGATGCCTGTGGCCGGGTCRTAGCACAGGATCGTGTCCAAAGATTCACCGTTTTCTCCTCGGCCACCGAGGATGAAGATCTTGCCGTTACACACYGACATGCCACAGCTCTCCTGCGAGGAGACAAAGATAACTTAAAAAAAAAACACTTCTTCAAAGTATATAAAAAAAGCTGATGCCTATTGTTTGCTCAGGATCAGCATTCAGTCCATTACCAGTTTGCTAAAGGTTTGTGCAACATTCATCCAGTAGTCCTCTGCTGGGTCGTAGCAGAATATGGACTTGGTAAGACCGCCGCACACGTAGATCAAGTTGTTGAGGGACACGGCCGTGATGCAGCGCTTGGCGATGGGGATGTTGGCGCGCAGCATCCAACAGTTTTCCTCTGGATCGTAGCACTGAACCTGTGACACAAACACAGTGAAGCGATGGGTTAAAGACAGAATAATAACGTCACGTTTTATAACACAGTGGATAAAGACAGGAAATGTGCTGCTGGGTTGTAGTCCTATGAACTGTTCTGTGGGCTGACACCAATGTGGTTTTGCATACATTCCAAAAATTCCGTTGTTCATTTAATTATTTGAAGAAGCCTCCTTTTCAGCTACAAGTTCACCAAATCAGCATGAAATCATTTTGAATTTTGGAAGCTTTCGTGACTTAAAGTTTGAGATTCCTCTGCGATATGGTACAGCCATGCAGACTGAGAGGCACATATTTTTATCTAATCTCTAATAAGACCTCCAACCTGCCCTTTTAAGAGTTTGGTAATGGGAGCAAACAGCAACTCCTTCTAGAAAATGTAAAATTCCTGTGTAAAACTCTTAAAAAAGTGCATTACTGGAAATGTGCAGGACAGTAAAAAAAAGTTAAATAAATAAAATAAAAAATGGTAGGTTTATTTTTACATTTGAAGAATGAGTCAAGTTACTTTTTAATTGTTTTACTGATCAGAACGGGCAGCATGTGTTGCATCAGACAAATACACCAGCYCTTTTTTTACTTGGAAATTTCCATCTACTGCAGTAACCTTTCACCAGCTRAAAAGAATGAGGAATGAGTTCATTCTGTACATTTATGAGATTTAGATCTTAATGTAGTCATAGAGTCTAGAAACCAGATCACACCTGCACATCCTCTGTGTGCTGCAYACATTAAAATTAAACAAGCAGCTCAGTTTATTCCTTTAGACTGAACTCACTGGTTCATGATTTTAAACCACAGTTTAACAACAACAGGTTTTGTGTAGTTCATGTCAAATAGTTGAAAACAATTTATTAGACACCAAAGATGTCAACACTGTGTGTGTGGGGAGAGAAAGAACCATGTGTTTTCTACCTTGTCTGAACAGGTATTGTCATCTGGCCCTCCTCCAATGACATAGAGCTTGCCAGCACAGCTGGCTACAGCTGGAGAGCTGACTGCCTCTTTCATGGGYGCCACTTCTGTCCAGCGATTTGAGAAGGAGTCATAACACTCCACACTGCTCAGGCGGCTCTGGCCATCGTAGCCTCCCACAGCGTAAACCTGAGGAGGGAAACAGAAATGAGACGATAACTGTTATTAAAAATATCTGATGTAAAAGCACACATTTTCCACTCAGGTTATCCGGAAAAAAAAGAGACCAGACAAAAACATCCTAAGACAAAAGCTTTAAAACTGGGAAGATTTTGAGTATGAACAATAGCTTCTTACATCAGCACTTACAGAACCAGTTAATCGGGTCCAGAAGACGATGACGCACAGTTTCTAGATGAGGACAGCTATTCTTGTCTTTGTTTTGAATATCTGTATTCACCACTCTAACTTCAACCACAYTTCATTATTATTATCTAACCTGCTAAACTATGATTCAAACTCGTGTTGTTGTTTTTATATACGTCAATGTGAGCAAGGTTAACAGAAATGTTCTTGCCTTTTAAAAAAGCAGGTTTRGCACTTGAGGTGTGCTGAAGGAGCCCAAATGAATTTTACTGTTAGCCAAAACATCACAAAATGAAGCATCATGTTGTAAAAGGCTTTGACAACATGTTTCTTGTCGAGATCATTTTCTAGAAAGTGATTACGTTTCAATAAAACCCCTGAAGCAGGTCCACGGGTTGCAAGGTGCATCGACAAACAGGTTTTAGTGAAACAGAAAACCTCCAGGCAGTTCCTGTCACTCGGAAAAACAGGAAGCACAAAGAAGGAGAGGAGAAAAAGAAAAGAGAAAGACGGCAAAAAGGGAAACAAAAAAAGGGAACCTGGAGGGGCGCATACACACACACACACACACACACACACACACACACACACACACACACAC